TGTACACCATGTAAGTAAAAGAAGTCAGGATATCTTTCCTTTACTGTCTTAGCATGGCATACTAGAACGGAATTGGTGAAAACAGTGGCTAATGTGTGTTATTTAACAAAGCTAGAAATTCTGCCTGGCAATTGTTCCAAATCCCAAATGTAGTGCCTCTGTTTCGTAATGACCAAGGGAACATGGAACAGTAGTACACTGGTTAAAACTATTCACCAAATACTGCATTTGCTCTTCACATTTGTGTATCATAGAATCATAGAATCATAGAATAGATTGGGTTGGAAAAGACCTCCAAGATCATCAAGTCCAACCCCTGATCCAACTCTAATTACTATATCATGGCACTAAGGGCCATGTCCAATCTCTTTTTAAAAACTTCCAGGGATGGTGAATCCACCACCTCTCTGGGCAGGCCATTCCAATACCTGATCACCCTCTCTGTAAAGAATTTCTTCCTAACATCTAACCTAAACTTCCCCTGGCAGAGCTTGAGCCCATGTCCCCTTGTCCTGTTGTTGGTTGCCTGGGAGAAGAGACCAACCCCCACCTGGCTATAACTTCCCTTCAGGTAGTTGAAGAGAGTGATGAGGTCACCTCTAAGCCTTCTCTTCTCTAGACTAAACAATCCCAGCTCCCTCAGCCTCTCCTCATAGGACTTGTGCTCAAGTCCCTTCACCAGCCTGGTTGCTCTTCTCTGGACCCGCTCCAGCACCTCAATATCCTTCCTGAACTGAGGGGCCCAGAGCTGAACACAATACTCAAGGTGCGGCCTCACCAACGCAGAGTACAGGGGAAGGATCACTTCCCTGCTCCTGCTGGCCACACTGTTCTTGATCCAGGCCAGGATGCCATTGGCCTTCTTGGCCACCTGGGCACACTGCTGGCTCATGTTCAGCCTCCTGTCAATCCAGACTCCCAGGTCCCTTTCCACCTGGCTGCTCTCCAACCACTCTGTCCCTAGCCTGTAGCGCTGCAGGGGGTTGTTGTGGCCAAAGTGCAGGACCCGGCACTTGGCCTTGTTGAACTTCATCCCATTGGAGTCAGCCCATCTCTCCAGTCTATCCAGGTCCCTCTGCAGAGCCCTCCTGCCTTCTGGTAGGTTGACACTCCCTCCCAACTTGGTGTCATCAGCAAATTTGCTGATGATGGACTCAATCCCCTCATCTAGGTCATCGATAAAGATGTTAAACAGGACTGGGCCCAGCACTGATCCCTGGGGGACACCACTGGTGACCGGCTGCCAGCTGGATGCAGCCCCGTTCACCAGCACTCTTTGGGCCCGGCCCTCCAACCAGTTCCTAACCCAGCACAGAGTGCCCCTGTCCAAGCCATGGGCTGCCAGCTTTTCCAGGAGTATATTATGGGAGACAGTGTCAAAGGCTTTGCTGAAGTCCAGATAGACCACATCCACAGCCTTCCCCTTGTCCACCAGGTGAGTCACCTGATCGTAAAAGGAGATCAGGCTGGTCAAGCAGGATCTGCCTCTCCTAAACCCGTGCTGGCTGGGTCTGATCCCTTGTCCATCTTGTAGGTGCTGTGTGATTGCACACAGGATGATCTGTTCCATAACTCTGCCAGGCACCGAGGTCAGGCTGACAGGCCTGTAGTTACCAGGGTCAGCCTTGCAGCCTTTTTTATGGATTGGGGTGATATTTGCCAACTTCCAATCATGTGGGACCTCCCCAGTGAGCCAGGACTGTTGGAAGATAATGGAGAGCGGCTTGGCAAGCTCTTCTGCCAGCTCCCTCATTATGTTTATTTCACAAGGTCCTTAATCTGAGGATCAAGAAGTTCACTTCAAAGATAGGGTATTATAGATCAATCTATCCATAGGGTTAACTAACTTGATGTCCTGTAAAAATAAGACAAAAAAATAGTATCAGTTTTAAATTAAAACTACCCCTCTGGGACAAACCAAAATACTAATTGCATAGCAGTACCTCTAGTGATCTGCTCTCCCAGGTACATGTTGCTTTTTGGGACTGAATGTCATACCTTCCTCACCACCTTCTTTCAAGGAAAACAAGCAGGTTTTCATCCTGGCAGGGAAGGTGTGTTCATCTTTCATCTCTGCCTGAAGGGATTAAAACTTACATCTTGTAAATCCTGGAAGAATGCTTTCTTTACCATCCTAGCTGCTAAGTGCTGACAAGAGTCAGGCACTTCCCGGTATCCAGGGAAGAAGTCCAAGAACCTGTGCGTGTTCATGGCACACTGTGCACCTACTCACTTTAGAAACCTCAAGAATCACACCAGGGGTGTGTGGAAGGCTTGAGGATTGCAGTTTTGGCAATATATATGCAGAGTAGAAACTTGATAGCATTTAAGTGTTGTAATCTAGATGGTTAGCTTAAATGGAGCCCTAAGAAAACGTACTTAAGAAAATATAACCTGTTGGAATATTAAATTACCATCCTAAACTTATCACTGGGAATTTCAATTAACTCCATTGAAGATATGGGAGCTATTACATATCTTTGTATAACTCAGTGCAAACAAATCAGAATAGACCCTTGCATCAGATTCTGCATGAAAAAAGGACAGCCGACTGTTCGTCTATCTCATCTCTCAGTTAACACCTTCACTGTACTTTGAATCTATGTCTGTATTAGTAAATTGAAGTGGAATGTTTCTAAGCATTGGAAATCAATTATTTACGATGTTAATTTTTCCTTGATGTGTCTTTGGCCAGTTCCAGCTATCCCATTCCTGGATTCATGGTGGAGTTACCTCATAAGAGGGATTAGTGCAGTTTCTGATAAAGTCCAATGCCTCTTCAAACGGAAGAAAGCTATGTTATTTAACAATTTTTCAGTTGTTCCTTGATAGCTGGTCTCTGTGGCAGACATGACAGGCATGTCTAGGTACATCTAACATACTAGAAAAGCGCAGCGTAGCATTTCTGACTTGAATTGGGGTGTACCCAAAACACAGGCTGCTCCTTCCTTATGGGATGGTGACAAAAAAAAACATGGAAATTGTAGCTGTAAGGAAAGGGAGAATCCATCCAGGTGTTTAGTTGAATTCCTCTTTCAGTTCTGCAGCTGTATCTACCTTTCCCCAAAGAGATTACTTCAGGTGAAGCACTACTTGAAATGTAATCTTAGGAACAGAATATCAGGCTGTATACAGCCTGGCTTGTTTTCCACCTTCTCTGTCCCCAATAGGTGACCCCAATGTGTCAATATTTGGAATGATTAACATGTAAATACAGCCATACCAAGTTATGTCATGCAAAGGGACATTCCTTCTCACTGTTGAAATGATTGTTCAATTTCTTTTTTTCCCCTGAGCCTTAAGGTGTCTGGAAACAAACCATGAAGCCAAGAGGAGGTAGGATTCTGGACTCTTGACAAAGCCTTCTTGCTCAGTCTTGCCTCTGGGTCTTTTTCTTCATCATGTGGTATGTATTTTTCCAGGTATTTTATTAATATTTTTGTACCTTCACTGTGACAGCATGGGCTGAGATTTTTGTAGTAACAGACATATGTGCCATTTGTATGTCGGTTTTGAAGATAAATCAATTAATATAGGTAAAAATAATAAACCAGTTGGGGAACACAACTGCATGCAGTAAGACACATACAGTGGGCAAAGCTGTGAATGCCCCGTCTCTGGAAATGTTCAAGGGCAGGTTGGACGGGGCTTAGAGCAACCTGGTCTGGCGGAAGGTGTTCCTGCCCGGGGCGGGGGGGTTGGAACTGGGTGGTCTTCAGCGTCCCTGCCGACCCTGCCCGTCCGTCCCTCCCGGCGGGGTCCCCAGCGCCGCCTGGCGGCGGCCGCGCCGCGCTCGGGCGGGTTGGGCCGCTGGGGGCCGCTGTGGTCGCTGCCTGAGGGGAGCGCCGCGGTACCTGCGGGCGGCCCCGGCGCCGAGCGCCGCCCGCGCCCGGCCACCGCCTCCCGGGGCTTGGGAAGCGCGCCCGACACGCGGTCCAGCTGCGCGTTTGCCCGTTTCGGCTGCCAAGGGAGAGGTTTATCCACACAATCAGAGTAAACAGGGAAAGTTCAACCGGATCGTGTTTCAGCCCCCACCACCACGCCCCGAGGGGCTCCGCGGGCAGAGCGGCCGCGTGTGTGTGTTCTGGGGAGGGGTCTCGCAGGACGGGGCTCAGAGCTGCCCGCTTGGCTGACACCTTTGAGGGGCCGGCGGCTGCAGGAGCGGACAGGGCGCTCCCGCCGGTGGCAGTGCCTTCGCTCTCCCCTCCTCCCGCGGCCCCGCTGGGAGCGCTTCCAGGCAGCGCCGCGCCGGGAGCCCAGGAAGCCGCCTCGCCACCCGGGACCGCCCGTGCCAAGAATCGGCGAGAAAGGCGGCACGCCCGTTCCCTCCGTCCACCCAGATCCGCTCCAGCCGCCTCTCCGCGGGCTTCCCGGCCGGCGCGAGCAGAAATAGCCTTCCCCTTCCCCAGCAGCTCGCCCCCGCCCCAACACCTCCCCTTCCCCGCCGCAGCCGGGCCCGGAGTTCCCGGTAAACAGGAGGCTTCCCCGCCCGCCCCCCGCGGGGCTGCGGCCGCGGGCCGGGGACCTGCCTGACGGGAGCTGCGCCAGGGACATCAATATTTCAGAGGCTCCTCAGCGCGTTTCTAATTAAAGGCTCGGGCGAGGCGCCCCCCCCTCCGTCCCCATCTTCCCGCCGCCACCCCCTCCCACTCCACACACACTTGGGACCGTCTCCTTACGTCGGAGAGAGGCAAAGGAGTGACTGAGCCCTGCCCGGGAGAGCCGAGCGGGGGAGGGACAGGGGGACCGGGGCAGGAGGGAGAGAGGGCGGGAAGGGGGCTTGTGCAAGCAGCGACGCTCCCGAGGTTGCCAAGTGGACTTTTATTGTTTTCCACCCACTTCCAAGTCGATACTATCTGCCGTCTCATGTCCATCCTATAGCCTATATAAGCGGCTGCGTCGGGGCTGGCGGCGATGGAGTAGTTTGTGGATACAACGGGAGCGCAGGGACGGGAGGGGGGCGGGCGGGCCAGCCGCGGAATACTTGGACTCCCCACCACTCGCGGGCTGCTGCCGTCCGGGGAGCGGCTCCCGGGGGAAAGACACCTCGGCTTCTGGGACGGAGAGACAGGTAAAGCGGCCGGCGAGGGCCAGCAACCTCCTTCCCCTCCGTCTCCCTCCCCACGCCCGCACCCCTCCCGCCCCGCGGGGCCGAAGCGCTGCGTGCGCCGGGGCCAGTGACAGCCCGCGGGCGAGAGCGGCCCCGCCGGACCCCGCCGGAGTTGGCGGGGCAGATCCGCCGTACGGAACGGGGGCCACACGTGTGTGCGCGGGCGCTCAGCCGTCCGAAGGAGAGGGACTACGGGGATGCCGCTGGCCGCCGCTCCGGGCTGCTCCCCGCGTCCGCCCGCGCCCCTTCCCTGAATCGGGAAGAGGGACAGAGAAAGGGGAGGCTGGCGCTGCCGCTCCCTGTGCACGGACGGCTGCCCCCCAGCCGCGCACCGCCTGTCCCGCCGCTCCTACCCGCAGCCCGAGCGCCGAACCCCGCAGCGAGGGTGGGGACCCGCTCGGTGCGCAGCTGTCGCGGCTTTACGACACAAACTTCGGAGAAAGTTATCGCCCATCGCCCGCGGTGCTACGCTCCGCGGCCGCGGGCGGGGCGGAGAGAGGCGGGGCGGAACGCCGGTCTGCTTCGCCGGGCGCTGGGCGAGAGGTCCCGCCGGGCACCCCCGCCTGTCCCCGCTGCGGGGCTGCGCACCCGCTCTCCCGCGGGGCTCGGCTGCGGGAGGCCGGGCGGGCGCTGCCGCGGCGCTGGGCCGGCTCTGCCCGCGGGGCGGGCGCTGCGGGCGGCGGGGGCAGCGGCGGACCCCCCGCCCTGCTCCGCCCCACCAGTCCCCCGCGGCCCGGCGCGGGGCCTCCGGAGCGGTCTGCGCCCCCGCCTAGTGTAACCTGGGGAGTAATCTACGCGCTCTCCTTCTGTAATGTTTCCTGTTTCATCCCCACGACTCTCCCCACCTTCGACCCACCCCCCCGATTTTCTCTTCCAGTGAAACAGGAGGCCTTCCACAGCAGCGGATCGTTCCTCTTCATCCCCTCGAGCACTCTTCAGGTCGGACTGCAATGAGTGGACTGAGGTCTCCTAGGCTGCTAGGGCTGGTACTCTTAATGCTCTCAGCAGGATATTGCAAAGAGAAAACTGACTCCACAGATTTGAAGGACAAGCAAAGTCTCCTAAATCTGATCATGGAGATCATTCAGGAACTGAAAAGGTACCACCTGGAGAAGGAGAGTGGGCTGCAGTACTTCTCCAAGCATGACTATAACTTGGATCGAAGGGAAGTGGCTGACTACGGAGGATACCAGGATGAGCAGAGAGTTGGTAAGTCATAATCCATGGCATAGGAGATCTTTTTTTTTCTCTAGGGTGCCTTGGTGAATGAGACAGCACATCGGGTTACTAATTTTATATGAAGAATTCACTTTTCAAAATACTGCAGGTTCCCTTTGGTATCAGAAACAGACACAGATGGCAAATTTGGAATAGAAAACTTCCAGTCACATCTCAGAGTCTTTTACTCTCTGGATAATGTACTCTACTGAAAGTCCAACTTCCTGTGGCTTTGAACGAAACCTATTAATAAGGGAAAAGACTGAAATGGGCTGAGCTCAAAGAAACAAGGGATGAAAACGCTCTTTTTCCTGGAAGGTTACCACTTATTATAAAGTGCTTGGTTTAAGTGTTTCTTGGAAATGACCCTAGCAAGAATTCCCCTGCAGGACTCTAGTAGGTCCTTAAAGACCCCACATCTAGAAGTCTTTCCTGAAGCTCAGCTTCACTGAACTTTAGCCCTGCTTGTTCGTTCCTTTTGTACTCCAGAGGTAGCACCTTTGAAATAATAGGGAACTGAACCAGTACTCCTCTACCACTGTAGAGGCTGTGACCAATCTGGGGCATTCCTGCAGTCATACTTCTGTTCATTTAACTGACTCTTCTCTAACCTCCAGTGAAAGCCTAGGTTTGTTTGTAAGATGTTCAGGTTGCATAGAGCAGTCCAGAAGTAGACATACCAGCCACACAGTGATGGATAGTTACTGCTCAGTTTTGTGATGTACCTCTGTGCATCCTGTTGAAAATTGATTTGGCTTCTCCTGCTGCCATGCCTAATTTACTGTTCCCTGTCACTTCCAAGCCCCTACAGCATTACTGCTGCTCATCTTACCCCTCCTACTGAAAGTGACTTTCTGAGTATTTTCCAGCAAATGCTACTCACCTTTTCCCAGTGTGGCTTTTATTTTGTTTGTGTGCTATTTATTTTGTCTTTATTGATCTCATAAAACTTCATTGTACCTTTTCTTCATTCTCATTCATATTCAAATATCCTTGTGATTGGTGGTTGTCATGAAAATGTTGCTTCTCCATCTGGATGATTAATGAATGTACAAAGGAAGACAATTTTGTTCTACTTAAGATCATCAGGGGGAGAACATTTTGTTTTATAAATGCTGAAAAGTCAAAGAGGCCAGACTAAGCAGGGAATCCTGATATGCACAACTTTAAATCTCACCTTGGAACATGGACATAGTTTTTGGTCACCCTACATCAGCATATTGGTGTGAAACATCTGGCTTGTGCAGTATAATTAATTAATAAACCTGCTTCAGAGCAGATTAGTTGGTAGTGTTGTTACTGACTCCTAGGCAGGATTTTTCATTCTGTTATTATAATGGAGTTATTCCCAGCAACTCTGAAAATGAACTACTAGTTAAGAGTCTTTCATTTCAGTTTTGGCATCACTTTCCCAGTGAGTTGGTCCCATGGGAAATTTCTGAGTGAAGCATGTGTGTTTTTAATGCTCTTCATGACATAATTAGGTCAAATTGGATAAGGTCAATTTTACTTACACTGACTAAAGTTAGAAGTAAATGAAGAATGACTTTCGAGAAGTGTCTAAACTCACAAGTGAATCAGATGTGGATGGAAACGCTCTCTCGCTTTATATCTGATAAGAGGTGCCAGGGGAGTGAAAAAGGCTGCTCAGGCATTTATGGTCAAATAAATAAAGCACCATGTAGTGTATCATACACAATCAGCACTAAGCTATCAGCATAGAGTTTGTAACGGAAAGCAATCAAAGATAGCTGTAAATCAGGAAGTCACAAGTGAGGGTTAGGGCTAAAATGGATTTCAGTAAACCAGTTTCATTTTGCCATCTGCTGAACACAAAACGCAAGGCGGTAAACCACAAACACAGGGAGCCAGAAGAGAGCAATTTGCTTGGAATCATTTCCTGTGAATTTTATTTACTGCTAAAGGGGAAGGAAAAAAAGATTCCTGTAAGTAGATCAATCCAGTTCTGTGATTACAGCAGAACAGTGCTAGTACAAACATACCTGTGATAGAATAGTGGATATATTTGTATAAGAGAATTAGAAGACACAACCCCAAACTTGAGTTTATATCTTTGGATCTTTATCACTCGTGTAATATATTATTTCTGAGCAACCATGAACTAAAATTTCTTGAAGAATTTAAATCTAGGTAAACTTGATAATATAATTCATAGAGAGCTAAAATCTGACTCTTAGTTAATTACCATCATCATTAATGACCACACATCTAACAGACATTGTTTCATCATCACAGTGTGTTTCACAGAGCATTTTACAAAGTGCTTGAAATTTGGCCTACTATATGCAAAGGACTTTTGACCTCTGTGCACCTGTCAAGACACAGTGGTGATGTTTGCTGGACAGAATATTCCCTGTCCTCATACTATGCTTGGCAAGCAGAGTTCCAGTGCAGCAGAGTGACTATTCTGTTTTCTGTCCAACAGAAATAGTTCCCAGAGATCTGAGGATGAAAGACAAGTTCTTAAAGCATTTAACAGGTATGCTTTAATTTTGCATTGGTATCCATCATTTAATGTACATACTATAAGCTGCACTACTCTTCCTGTGACCTGTGCTAATTCATAATTTATTGTTTCTTTGTATTTCAGGTCCACTCTACTTTAGCCCAAAATGCAGTAAACACTTTCATCGGCTTTATCATAATACAAGGGACTGCACCATCCCAGCATGTAAGTGACAAAACGAGAAACTTCCCTGAAACAAAAGGAAACCCAAATTTAATAGGTCTATCAGGTATCAGTGGTGATACAAGGTCAGAACTCATTGTTTCCAGTGAAGAGTTTTGAATGCTCTGAAATATACTAAGTATTCTTTACAGCATTGCTAGGACAGCATCAGCATTACAGAGAGGAAAATGGAAACAAAACCTTTTCATTGCAAATACATTGTGTACGATGGCTCTAAACACTGTGTCCTTACGTAGTGATGTATATGCCTCCTGGGTTCCAAATCAAGTGTTTGCTTTTCACAGGAACATGACCCCTCTCACAAACATCTCATATTTACTTTCTAGTGCTGCAAATTCAATATAGGATCAGAAATCCAGGTGGGATTATTTCCTTTTCATTGATTATTTATCTAGAACATATTTTATAGACATTTTCTATTTCAACTATTCAGCTACCAATCTATCAGTCATGTTGACAATGAATCTTTGCAACACTTGAGTTCATTGAATTACAAAAATATAACTTCCTCAGGCTTAGGAAAAAAAGTGCTGATGGACACAAAAAAGCAAATGTAGTTTATGATATCTCTTCACTGTTGGCAGCACAGAGACAATGAAATCAAACATTGGCATTTATCAGTCCACAGATGTGACTCCAGATTCATACAGAGGTGGACCTGTTGAGTAAGCAGATGCTATTTTAGTACAGCCTTTTCAGAATGGAAGCACACTTTATTTTACTTGTTTGAGGTCAACCAGTTGGGTCAGTAGCAGAGCTGGGAATAGAAACAAGAGTTACAGATTCCAAGTTTCAAGTATTAATAAATATTTCAGCCCAATATACTTTAAAGGCATATTTGGTAAGAATTGTGGACTTTTTCCCTGTTTGTAAGGCTTCAGATTAGGAATGCCTTGGAAAGATAGGGATTTGTAGATGATAGCTAGCCAGATCACATTCTGTTTGTATGGGTGGAAATATAAGTTGTTCATAACTTGTCTGTTTGAACAAGCAAATGGTCATATTACCTTTTTCATAAGGATTACAATACAAACGTCATTTGACTCAGCACAGCTCCAAGCTGTGAAGCTAAAAACTAGTTGGCCTAAAGTCTAAATTAGCCTTTTCCTTCTGACAGGTGACATACCCACCAATATCATGTCTGGATAATGGAGGATAATTTGTACGAATAGCAATTATAGCATAACTATGCTGTGAGTTAGAGATTGTTAACGTTGCATCTCTAGGAAACATTAGATGTAGTTACTCATTAATGAAATAATGCCTAATGAAAATCAACATCAGTTACTGGATTGAACTGACTAGCATCTTTTGAAGTAACTTTCTTCTAGGAAAATGACGTAAACAGCCTACTTTAATTCTTCATGCACAGAATGATGTCACTTTTTGACTTCAAATAATACTGCTCATTCTGTGTAGAAATTCAAAGGCCAAAGAAATTAAAAGCATCTATGAGGCTGCAATATGGTGGTAGCCAGTACAAAAGAATTTTGTTGGCAGCCTTTCTAGTATTTTGCACACTGTAGTAGCATTGACACCTGAAAAGTAATTTACTTTTCTGTCTGTCCATAACTAGCTTTCACAATACTTGCTTTTGGTTTGTCATGTTAATGAAAAAAAAAACCAACCCTTTTGATTTCTTTTTTTTTTTTTAATTTTGCATTGGTTCTGTTCCTTATTACGAATGCATCAAAAAGAAGAAGGTACCTAAAATATGAACAACTAACAATAGGACTACTGTGGAAAAAACAATTTTACTAGTTTTGAGATGAAACTTGATACAGTTATGAATGTTTATGATGTGGTCACATAATTGGGCTGGACTTAACATTCCTATGACTAAATGTTATTTGTCTAATTTGAAGAAAATCTATTGGAGAGTGGCATTACTTAACATTAAGTTGATAGATTGTTTGTTGAGGGCTGGATTTCAAAGGTGGGTGACCACAACTTACTCTTCCTCTAGTATGGAGATACTACAGTCACATGTTTAGATCCTGCATGTAAGCATAGACACAGATATATAAATTTTCATGCATATATACACTTGGAGTGCCTCCAAGCACATTCATGCTATTTGTTTACAGATGGAACATATGCAGAAGTCAGTGCACAGTTAATGTGGCATTAGACATGGCTTTCAGTTACACAGTTTTTACACACTGCATTTCTAAGTCTAAGGAGTTGACTTTTATTCTATTGCAAACTAAGGTATTCATTAAACTTTATTACAACACTAATTTTACACTGACACCAATGTTGGTTTTTAAAGGCAAAATTGGTTACTTTGGTAATCTATTTATGCTCCTTTTTCATGACAGACTATAAAAGATGTGCCAGGCTTCTTACTCGGTTGGCAGTAAGCCCAATGTGCATGGAAGGATAAAGGTAAGCTTTTTCTTAGCAGTGGTAATATTCCACTGCATAGCAAAGCAGTGGATGTTGTGCTTCATACATGAGAATTCATGGGTGTATAATAACAACTGTCCTTTAGCAAAGGTATTCCCCTCTCATACAACTTAAAGGAACTGGCTTAATCTGGCAAATTTTGGCATCAAGGAAAGGGTACCCCCTGCTGGAAGTCATTACATAAAAGTCCATGTGCATCATCTGTGAATTATTTATAGCAGCATACAGTTAGCAGATAGTGACTTGTTGTTGTAGAACAAAACTCTACAGCTGTGGATTATTTTTCAAGAGTTGACTCAGTACACAATTGCCTGTATCAGGAGCAGCAGCCACCCTTTTATGTGTGCAGCTGTACATCTATGGTGTACTCTTTAGTCTGAGTTAATATATACATAGCTATACACATGAAAGCTTTATAAATGTAGATAGGCTGCAGGTGCTTTTATAGTAATTCAATTAAAATGTATTATTAGTAGCACTGATAAACTAACTTCAAGCTACTCGGATTTCCTGGGATTTCATCGTGTTCACCTCTCATGTCTATGGGTTAATTCCCTCCCTTCTTGCCTACATGTACCTCTACTTCCCACAAATATTTGGGAAATTTCATCATGCACCAAAATAAAAAGCCAACCAACCGACCCAAAAAGTACCTCCAATCTATCTGTATTTTTAGGAAACTGTCACAAAAGAATACAAAAGGACTAATTCACATTCTGTCCTCAACCTTTTCCTGAGACAAAGGGATAAATAATGACCGTATGGACCTGTTAGTAACAAATGCTGTCAAACCAAGGTATTTTAACTGTGTGACAAAATACACATCCGGTAGAGAGAATCAGTGAGAAAAAGTAATAAATATTAATCATTTTAGTTTACTTTTTTAAAGCATTGACAGTGTTTTGCATGGCATTCTCAGAAGCATGCTAGGGAAATTTGATCAAGGTAAATGTAAAAATGACTGGAAAAAGATACACAAGTTATTAGTGCTTTACTGTCAAAACTGGAAAAATGTATTGAGCAGAGTCACACAGCTTCATTTGGGTATGATGTTGTTCAATACTTTCATTAATAACTTGTGTGATAGAATACTATATTTAAGGATTAGAGTAGTGTAGGAGAAGCAACCACGACGCAGTACAATCTTGAAAATATAATAATCTTAGAAAATAAGCTGAATAGTATAAAACAAGGATAAAATTTAAAGAGCAGAATTATGAAGTCACGTAGGAGTATTCAGCTTCAGAGTTACCAGAGTGGCAGCATACATGGCATTTTGTGAACAGACAAAATGTTTTGTCAAAAACATAGGGGTTGTAGTGGATCACAAACTAAACAAGTCAACCATGTCGCACTTGAAAAAAGTCAAACAACATACTGAAATTCATAAATAAAATAATTGTTTATGAAACATCTGAAATAATCAGTTACTGGAATACTGTATTTAATTAAGGGCACCACCCTTGAAGACATATGGGTGCTTCTTAAAAGAGTCCAAAGAAGAGCAATGTGGATTACCAAAGGCCTAGAAAGAGTTTAAGAGAACAGTTAAAGGAATTGGGATTGTTTAGGCTAAAGAAAAGATGACTGCAGGAAAACATAAGGGAGCTATTCAATTTCATAAAAGGTGGCTACAAGCCATTCTCTCAATCCAGTGTGGATAAATGAAACATAATTTGTTTAACTTTGCAAATAGGTGAATATTATTACCAATACCAATAAGCGGATACATCAGAGTAGGAAATTCTTTTCTCCCTTTCTTTAGGAAGTTTTGTCTGTATCTTAACATCCTGTCATGTAAACACAAACTTGTAATATGAAGGAACAGGAGCTAAAGTAGTTCACATCTCAAGCTGGGAGTCTATTTAAAAATGTCCATCTCTCAAAAAACATCTTTGCTCAACTAGTAGGCATGTTGCAATGTCAATAACAACTCCACTTCTGTTACACACAGACACAAATCAGTAGTGGTAGAATTGTTAAGTAACCCCTGTTAGTAGACAGACAGACTATTCTCTACCACATATGCTTTGAGATTCATAAATGCCTCCATAAGATTAAGCATCTTTTCCCCTCAAAGCTTTTTCACTGCATCTGTTCAATTTGTGTGAAACAAATTAGGTTTCCTCTTTTGCTTATTATCTGATTTTCATTTCATTGGAGGCTTCAAGTGGGCTGGGCTACAGATGGATTATTACCCTGGCAAACTGGTAGTTTTGGTGGATTTTTCAGATCTGTGGACATCTATCCATGTTTAGAGATCAAAGGCAAAAAAAAAAAAAGATTTGTTTTCCTTTCTACATGAAATGCATTTTGGACTATCACAGCTTTAAAGCACACAAGACATTGAAACTCTGAGCTAAGATCAAACAAGAAAATAAGGAACAAAACCAGGAATTAGACAGCTGTGACTGTCTCATACCTGAGCGGGCCCATGTGTGTTTGTGGTACGTGTCTTATGGAGCTTTCGCTTTTTCTCAGTTACCCTACACACATGTGTAACTGGGCTCCATCTCTTTTTTTTAGTGTATGTTCCCATTCTGCCTCTCCCACAGATATGAGCAATGCAGGGACCCAGTAACAGCCCTTCAACTTGTTGAGATTGCATTAGTGAAGCCAGAGCAACACATTTGTATTGCCACATCACTCAGTAGTCCTTTTATTTTTTTTTTCAGTCAGCAACCCAGGCAATATTCCTTGGCTGCCACCAGCACTATCTCTGATTAATTTTATTCTGTAACCTCTTCTTGCGGTCAGCACAGCTATGCTAAGAGTCCTGTCCTTGATGCTCTTTTTTGTTTTGTTCGTCAGCCAGCTTCCTAGTATTTCGCATATTCCATGGTTGCTTTGTCCCACCCCATACAGATACATCCCACAAATGTAATGTCAGGAACAAGATTCCTGAAGACTTCGCCTAAATAAAGTTCCCATTTCAGATATTGAGTATTTCCTATGATGGTGATGAATCTGAAAATCTGTCCCATTTGACAGCATTTGTCACAGCCACTTTGGCTACAGTCATACAGATTTTACTGCTTTTGTTTGGAAACTGCAGGTGTTACTGTTGATGCCCTCCATTTTCTTGTACCATGAGTAGTAGTTCAAAGACTAAGGACTGCATTATCACATATTATTACATCCTTCTGTTTTGAAGATTTCTTCTGATTTCTATACTGATAAGCTTTTATGTTTTTTTTTTACTTTTTTTTAAAGTAAAAACAGTTTTTTCAAATAAAGTAAAACTAATGACACAAACACTTTTGCACTAATAAATACAAGACTGGTGCAAGTAGTAGGAATCTTGGGCTAAGCAGAGAAAATTAGGTTTTATATACTATAAAAAGAGTATGGAAAAAATCTATTAGTTGCTTCCGTCCTTAAGAAGCACATACAAAAAATTAGTATTTGTACATACAAAGGTCTAAGATTCTTTATAAAATTTCTAATAAGCTAAAGCACACTGATAACTGAAATTTCCTTTGGAACTCAGAAAAACCTGTGTAAATTCCTCAAGATGTATTGTCCATACTAGTAATGCACATGAAAAATGCTGAAAATACAAGTTAAAGTTGGAAACTTCATATACATGAAAACTAGAATACCCCACTGAATATCCCATTCCTATACAGCATTTTTTTCAAACTGTTCTTAAACCAAGATAATATTTGGGTACTTAAATTTGGCTTCAAGTGTTTTGTTACAATGGAAAAAACAGCCTTTGATTGCTTTCTCTCTTACACTGCTTCTTGTTCAGAGTAACATCGAGTGCATTCAAGAAATGTAAGACACTTTCATTTCATAAAAGTGAGGGTGAAATTAAGATGAGGGGGTTGTGTATTATTCAGTGAAGGCAGACCCTCTTTTTCTAGAATGTATAGCTTGACTCATCACATACAGCTTTTCAGGGCATGTTCAGTCACCTCCTGGTGCCAGGAAGTAGTTCCCAAGGTAACTAATTTAGGACTTTTATCAGAACTACTGCTTTGCATTAAATAGGCAGCCAGTGCAGGTTAGTAGTGTGGCACAGTCCAAGTTTATTAAGAGCAATTTGTACTTTTGCTTACCGTGGGATGTCTGTGGCTAACACCAGATGGAACATTAAGAGCTTTATCATCTTCAATGAGTGGATCTCTCTCATTACGTCACAGACTTCCACCTGGGTGTGCACACTTGGGGAAAGAATTTTTTGATGTAAGCACATGGAAGTTCTGCTACAAAATCCTACTGGCACGGTATTTTAAGGTTTATATTGATCTTTAAACCACTAAATTCTTCTCATATACATTAGCTTTTTCTTGCAGGGTTTATCATCATGCACAGATAATAACTAGAAAGAAATCTGGAAAGCTGTAATATGCCTTTACACTAGCTTTCATTTGTGCTTTTAAAAATTGGAACAATTGCATGGTTTGGGGGCTTTTGTGGGGTTTTTTTCCCTTCATTAGCAAAGGAGAACTAAAGATTGAGTTAAAGAGGGGAAAGGAACTGTATAGTTACCTATGTTCTCAACAGAGGCTGTAGTCAAATTGTGTTCAGGATCTCCAGTAAGATTACCAGTCACCTTTCAGCTAAATTACGGTCTAATTTTCCTAGACTGATCCATATAATGTGAAATAAAAATTTAAAAGAAAGTACAGCAGATTAATCAATGCTAAAAATATGAGGCCTTTTCAAGGGTCTCTGAAAATGCCAGGGGTTTAGAAAACTGTAAGTTAGCTGAGCACTGGGAATCTAAGATCCAGAGCTTTTGATCAGATACCCATGCAAAAGCAGGTCTGGATAAGCATCCTATCCACTGTTTTTCACCCTCAGCGAGCTGCATATTCCCATTAGTAATGAAAATATTTATTACATTTTCAGTGTTTAACTTGTCAGTTGTACCACAAGTGTACCACACACTGATCAAACCGAAAGCACGTTAATTTTTTTTAAACATCACTTTTAAACATCATAGCCTAAACAGGGTACAGTAGGACCATACATACAGAAAATAAGCTAGATGAAAATGCAAGACAAGGAAAATTTACATCAGTTTCCACTCTAAGGAAAGACATTAAAAAAAAAGAAGTCATTGTCCTATCTGCAAAGCCAGAGAAAACCCCTAAATTACATTAAGCTTTTCTGTAACATTATTACATTTCCTAATAGCTTTCAAAAATTGCAAAACTAAATGTTTAAATACTACTAACAAGTATTTCTGTATGCACCAATAGCTTGATTTCCAATGGATTATGTCAAGTCCAACTGACTTTGCATCCAAATGATTCTATTATGAATTATAGTTAAGCAGTAGAAAATGTAGAGAAACACAGAGTATCAGAGAATTCACCCTGATCATGGGAAGGAGAGGTACCTACGTTCAGACAATACAAAAGTTTTAACTGTGAAAAACGTCATTAACAGAACTCTAGCATCAGAGTACCACTGGTTTTTATCTCCCACATGGACTTTTGACATCTGTGAGACATACAAGCTTCAGCTGAATCTGTTCACATGTAAGAGCGATGTCTTTTCACTGTGTAGTTCCTGCTAATTAAAAAGACATCATACATTTTTTAGTTCTAAAAAAGAATAATAACAGGCTTAGGAGGACATGAAACTGGGTGGACAGACTTGCAGCATTCAGTGGTCATCCATCTAGAAAATCTGGTTGCAGAAAACAAACTCAGAAGTTACTGGAGAGGGGATGGACTTTTAGATACATATACTCAGTTACACAACATTTTCTTAAAATGGTTTAAAGGTGTGGGGGAATGGGGGCCTGAAACCTTCACTGCACAACCTCTGAATCAACATTTCTGGAGTATAGACAATATACATACATAAGCAATGTGGAAACCTGTTATTTTGTATCAGTGATTTTGATATCAGTATCATAGAAGTGGTTTTGGTTTCATTCCAAGAAACTATTCTGGGAAGAGTTACTAGAACCACCAGCAAACTGAACCACTGCAGCTCCTCCTCAGTTTGTGCTGCCTCAGTGTTTGCATGTTCCAGGAGCTATATTTATACAACCTAATCTCAGAAATTTACTTCTATTTGTTTCTTGTTTATACGATTCCAAGTTTCTTCAAACGGGCCCAGAGGAATATCAGATTCTTCCTAGATCTTATGAACAATTTACTGACACCAAGGCATCTAGACAGAATTTTGCAGTCTGATAATGCTATTTCTGAGGTTTATTCACTTTTTGACTTCACAGCTGCAGTCATTAGAACAGGTCAGACTTAACTATGAGCATATTTTATATAGGAACTGGATTTTCCTTATCTGTCTACCTAAAATGAACCAACACAGCCTCAGCTAACAAACTGTTAATTTAACAGTCAGGCTGTTAACAAACTGAGCTAAATAAGAAATGCGCTACTGGATCTTTCAAAAGTTCTTATGGAATTCTCAAGTTTTATTTATTATTTTCAGCATTTTAAACACATTTTCAAACACATGTATGTGAATATAAAAATGGTGAAAGGCAATTTTCTTCTTTCTTTTAATCCACCAGATGTTATTACCATGACAAGAAACACCAAGAACCAAGAGAAGTGCCTTGGAAACCAACAGGGAAATAGAACTTACTACCTTTTAGCAAATTCCATTGTGAACAAGAGATTTATTTTTGCAGATGGAGACTACTTCCCATAATTCTTTTAACATGCATTTTGTATGCCATCAAGTTTGCAGACTGACATTCTTTACAGTAGCATAACAGCCAGTAGTATTTAATGCTCCATATTTAAAAACACACTTTACAATTGATGTGTAATGCTGCAAAAAATGATGTAAACACAAGTATTTCACCAAGAAAATTGATGTTCTATTGCTTAATTCTAAAATTTTAAGGAATGTTTGTTTGTATATCTAGAACTACTAAAGATCTGCTCCACGGTAGTTGTGGTCACTTGATACCCTTCATGCTTATGCAATTTTTTTAAAAGTTTGGTTAAAACAGACTTGCATTGGGGTCACATTGTACCCTGGGAGTACAAACTGCATGACAAACAGAAATGTAATTCCAAGTAGACATACTTTTTGGGACAGTGGAGCATGGATTTTGTACACAAACACAAGCTGCCATTAATTTACTTTATATAATAAATGTATAAAACATTCCAGTGAACGTGCAATATGTAAATACTGTAAATAACGAGCATAAGTAATAAAGTGTTTGGTATTAAGCTGTTCTCAATTTGCTTTCTGTTCACTGAATCCAGGTAAACAAGCTACCCTCTCGTAGCTACTGTCTACTTAAACCTCTTTCCAGTAAGAGCTCACTATTGTAATAAGGAAAGTTATATCCACCTCAGAGAAGTTCAGTAATCTGGACACTCTCTCTGTGTCTTCCAATCCCACGAAATGCCCGCAAGGCTGCTCCAATTTTCTCTAGCATTAGAAGATGTAATGTTTTTATGAATCACAGTTGGTTTAGGATTTTTTGTTTGTTTGGGATTTGGTTTGGGGGGGCTTTTTGTTCATGTTTGTTTTAGGGGTTTTGTTTGTTTTTGCAAGTTTTGTTGTTGGGATTTTTTTAAATAATCTGCAGTCTCTTCATGATACTGCAAGGCAATATAATCAGCAAATGTCCAGTAAATCATTTTACTATTCTAGAATTTTTAAGGAGTCACTTATGTGACTCATATTTTAAGGAGAACACTTACTTGAAAATCCTTGATACACATTTCTCTTTCTTCCTTAAATCAGGTATTAAATCCAGTTGACACAATAAAACGGCTCAAATGGAAAGAGATTTTTTATGTGCAATCTGTAGATGAACGACATGTACTTTTTTATCTAATACTGGCATTTAGTTTCAATTCTATCCTCAATTTGAACCACAAAATGTAAAACCAAAACTAGACACGTCCCTCCCCACCCTGGAAACTCTAGGACCTGAGATTCTTGAAATGGACATTTAAGAGCCTTCAGCATCCAGCTCTTTAGAAGAAAAGAGAAAATGGCAGAAGTACAAAATCCCATCCAAGAACGTGGCTGCGTTTAGCAGGGGAGAATTACATATTTTTATTTGCTTTCAGTGAACACTAAATGCTAACGTTTCATCTCTCAATGGATGCAATATGTGGCTACAGAAAACTTGGTAGTTAAAGGAATCTACTTCTACAGGATTCACTCAGCTGCTCACCTGCAGTAAACATGTGGGTGGAACTCTGTGCTTCACTGTGGTTCCACTGAACAAACAGTACCGTGCAATTGTCCCTCCTGAAGGCAATTCCTGTTCTCTATTCTTGGCATCTACAGATTTGTATAACATGCTATGGTGATCTCCTTCCCCTCCTCCAGAAAAAAAAAACTACTACTAATAAAAATCAATCTATCAGTTTATTCCTCCTACTAGAGTTAGTGAATTATTTAGCCAACAGATTACTTGCTGAATATGTGTCTCAAGGCTGAAACTTTTAAATCCGAACTGAATTTAAATTAAATAGTTTTGATTTAGTATCACTTTACAGGAAGATTGCTAAGCCTAGTAAAGGTAAACAACCTTATCCTTTTATCTCCTGTTACTTCAGCAGCTCAAAGATTTAAGACTTTTAAATCTTAGCTTTAATATGTAGGAAACTGTTGAATTCCTACACAGCCATGAATGGGAAAGCACACCATGTTCTCAATCTTGTGAGTTATTTTAATTTCACTGGAATATTTGAAATGGTCATTCAGGCAGAGAATAGCATTAGATTACACCTAAACACTTCCACCTTTGAGGCTAATGCATAAAACCACATTTAAGAGGGTTTGTCCCTAACTGCCCATCATTTTTCCCCATTTACTTTGTCAAAGCATGCATAAAAGGACAATATTTATTCCAGAGTCAGTGCTTAATCGGACCTGAAATATTGTGTTACTCTTTGTGCTTGAAGTGAAACAGCTATTAACTTGCAAATTTCTACTTGATCTTTAGAAGTCAAAACTACTGGTAATGCAATAATGCACAAAGATTCTGATTTCTGTGTTTAAGCGTTCCATGTACCACTTGCCTTTTTGTAAGCAGGTTCTTAAGTTATAGGTCTGATTGAAATTTTAGCACAAGACAGAAATGTCCCTAACACAAAACAGCTGTTCTACAGCAAAAGTCCCAAGAAACTTAATTCCTGTGGTGAAAGTTGCAACACACACAGAGTGACACCACCATTCCAACCTCCCCAAGAATAACAGTATCCTCTACTGAAATACATCTTTCCCCCAGAAGAAAAAGCAGGTGACAAATACACCAGACTACTACGTTGGAAGGCAGGAAGAGACACAAAAAAAGGTTAAATAAATCTGAAAGCAAATTTTATAGATCCAGTTTTACAGATGTGGTAATGCTTGTTCATACCAATGCAGATACCAGTTAAAATAGGAAAATCATCATGGTACCAGTTACATTACTGATCTCAGTGCATTTACATTTCTAAGGCAGACAAGAAAGGTGATGTTCAGACAAGCAGGTACAGATTTTTACAAAGCATTTTGTCCAAGAGCAGAACTATCTACTTACTGGCCTTTGGTTAACTTTGTACTATATTACAGATGGACTCTATTTGGGTTGAACTATGCTTTCAGAGAACACTTCTGACAGGCTGTCCATTCTCCTGAGTAAATCTGTAAATACTGTCTGATGCTCATGTAGGAACTGGGATTATAGCAAATTTCTCATCTATTATATTGCGTGGATTTGAGTATTTTACTACTATATGTGATTTCACATTCCAGCTTTTAAGCTGATACATTTTGTCGTCAAACTAAATGCTACGCTTCACGTACTTGTGCCAGTGTGCTACGAATCGACCAGAAGACCAAAGGAAGACTACAAGTCCTAACCAATTTCTGAACTGTGTTCATCTTAACTAGTATAAAAGTGTTCTGGCACAAAAATTATTTCTTCTTTGAATAACTAAGCATTTAAACTGACAGAAAAAGCTATTTTCACTGGACTCTGATGACACACAAGGACGCTTTGCTTGCTTAAGCTTTCAAATAGTGCTGAGAGCAATGCCTGTCAGGCAGCAGTTCTTTGAGTCTAGAAGGCTTCCTGTGAAACAGCTTCCATCCAAAGGCTGCCTCATCTAAGTTACACATCAACTATTATCTCACAGACTCCCACTGAAAGTTGACTGAAATTAACTCGCTGAGGACACGATGACAAGACCTCAGTTTAGTTAATACAGCACATAAAGAAGCAAGATGTTACTGTTTCAGTGCTTGTGAAAAAGCACTGGAAGAGTTTACAGATAAATTAATTCTGAATTATATACTTTATTACTACACTGATGAGTGACAAAATCGTTGATCATGTAATCCAATTAAAACATTCCTATATCTTTTCATTAGATGATAGAAAAGCTAAAATACAAAATTAAACTGAATAAGTACTGAACACAAGGCATAATTTTACAATTTAAATACATCAATCAAGTAAACTTCACGTATTTCAGGAAAAGCTAATTATTTTCTTTTAGAAATTAAATGATGAAGTATTAATGAGGTTTCTCCAAAAATGCTTTACAACATCTAAGACATTGCTCGTAAACAGTTTCAAAGTCCTTTTCATTCCCCTAGAAAAGAAGAGAGGAAAAAGACTGTAAGAATAACAGTACTAACTAAAAAAAAAATAAAAATTGCATCCTGGTTTCCCCGTTGTCATAAATGGTGCAAATACTTGGTGATAGTTTTTGCATATTTCTCTCTAACATGAACTCAAGAACTTCCACAGACAAACACTGTGACTTTGTATGCAACAGTCCTGGATGACTTTCCTTCACACATTTTCTTCACAAATTTTACTTCCACTCGCTTTTTGAGCCATTATAAATCTTTTCCTTTTTTCTTTATATTTACACTAACCTATCTCGTTGAGTTTCAGTTTAATGAAGCAATGTGTGGAAAAAAATCCAAACCAAAATTCTTTTTGTTTTGAATCTGCTTCTCTCCCATTAAAACCATTTCATATTCTCTACTTCCTGGGTAATGAAGAGCAATTCCTTATTCACCTTTTCCCATTATATCAAGATTTTATAGAACCCTATCGCATCTTCATCCACTTCTCTTAGCTAAACTGAAGAATATTAATCTAATTGTTTGTTCTTGGCTCGCATTATTCAACTTCTTTGATCACCCACATCCATGCCTTTGTCTCTATCTTTCCTGATTACATCCTCTGCAAGGAGGCTGATCAACCAGGGCTTCACCCAGTACTGAAAATATAGGTGCACTGCATTATTTAAATGTAAATAAATGCAAGCATAAACACATTTTCCTTTCCTACTACAGTAATTTATATTGTTTTCTTGTAATAAAAAAAATATGTTTACACTTGGTTTTGTATAACTTTACATTATATGTCACATGCCAACTGTGGGATCTGGAAAGATTAAATACTACACATACACAATTTTTAGCCAAGCCACCCAAAGAATTTCTTACACTTACGTAGTATGGATCTTCAATAATAAGCTGTTTCTGTGGATCATAACTTCCAAGTAGCTCAATTTTGGCCTTGCAGTCTTTAATTTGGTTGCTTTTCCTGTTCAGATCTCTGTAAAAGAGAACATAAAATTTTCCCCTGAATTTTTCTCCAAAATTTCTCCATCAACACAAGATTTTCATGACTGTTTCTAGACAACACCGGAAAATAACACATATTTGGACTCAGTCAATCCTGTGGACCCTACGCTGCTGTTTGGTTTTGTTTCTTTCCTATTGTGTGGGGTCCTGTTCAATTGAGTATTACACATAAACTTAATTCAGAGCATAAACAGTCAGGCACTTGACCTATAGCTTAACAAAACTTTGTAACAGTAAGTTCAGCAACTTCTTCCTCAAATCAATCATTAGTACTTTCAATATCTACCCTTGGCTTGTGTTGAACAAAAAACAATGGAAATTATCCAGATATTTCTCCAGAAGTTTGAGTAAGCATCTCCTACCTGTTCAAAGCCAGATTAAATTGGTATAATGCAAGTTCTCTCAATACTACCTGTAACTCATGTGAAGTCCTACTACAGACAGTTAACAGAAAATGGTAAATGAGTGAGTTACATCTGTTTTCATTTTGATATACTGTAACATTTTATCAGTTGTCACATCTTCTTCTTCTGCATTGCCTCTCATTGATAAAACATTCTGGTTTTGAGATGGTATTTTCGCCATCTACGATCCCAAAGGCAGTTAAAAGGCACCTCTCATCATCTCCAGATTAAAGACCACTCAGTACTATGATTTTCACAATGAACTGCCAGAACATAGTAAATTCTTTTAATATTACACATTTCCATACCAAATTGCCATTTTACTTACCATTAAAAAAGGCAAAAAAAGCCCCCTGTGAATACTTAGTCATAAGCATATCAATGTTAAGAAATTAAACTCTAATCATTCATGCTGATAAATTAATTTCAAATAGTTTAGAAATAGCAATGAGACCACAATACTGGTTTTGCTTGAAGAAAAATCAGGGCTCCTCTTTCAACCAAGAAGGTACTGCTTGAATTTACAGATTTTCAATAAATTCTCTAGCCTTTTATTATTGGAAAAAATGTCAAACTATTTTCTTAAAGGTCTCTGGCAGACCACTTAGTGAACAGGAGAGGGACAGACAGCTCTGGTACTAAAGAAAAGGGATATCCCAAATCTTCCTTTTCTGACATGGGAGGCATTCCATCAACACCTGGAATCAGCTTGCCCTCCCAGTGCTACAAATTAGGTGTCCCAGGCAAAATGGTTGAACTCAGTGCAAGTTTAAGGTGAAACTGTAGCGTAGCAGTAGCAATATCCCAGTTGTAGTTCTGACATTTCTTCTGCTCTATAGTTCATACCATATAAATTGTTAATTGAAATTTGTTTAAGAATTCAAGTGAAAATAGAAGTAAGCCTAGTCACGTCATTGCCTGACACCCTGCAGTCAAGCCAAGTGTTATATACCCTTGTTCTTGCAGACTCTGGAAGAGAGGTCATTCAACCATTCTAGAAAATTCAACAAAATCATACTTATTTCAGTTAAGTGGTGCTGCTTCTAGAAGTCTTTATGTGCTACTAACAGGGTTTCATTTGGGTTTTGTTTTGTTGTTGGTTGTGGTGGTTTGGTTTGGGCTTTTTTAAACTAACTTTACAATAGCCCTTAAAAGCACTTTGAAAGCTCAGCTCCTTAATCCTTACTGTGTATAAACTTGAGTAGAAATTTTGCTAGTGATATCCAAATTTTTACACTAGGCAGCTACTTCACCAAATCTTTCTAAAGAGCACTTAATTAGAACACAGCTAACAATAAAACAAGATTTCCTCCAGCTAACAACTCTGCTTATTTCAGAGCTCACTCTATTTCTATAAAAAAAAGTAAAAATACTCTCGCCATATTTAATCCTTTCCAAGTTGCCACAGTTTGTCTTTTAGCTGCCATGCAATTAGAAACACAGATCACTTCAATCAAGACATTAAGTACACCCTCATTCTTAACTATAAGGGCATCAGCTGTACAGTAACTAAATTTCCATCCTTAATCCTTGAGTGGCACATATCACACAAATAAACCATTGACTTCTAGCTCATTAAACTTATTAGAACTGAAGAATCTATCCTAATAGGATATCATTCACATACATGTTAAAAAAAAATACCCAAAACAAAAGAACACTGAGACAAGCAAAGCAGTTAAATGTGACATCTGTCTTCAGAGTGACTTATGAGACATCACTATAAGTAATCCATATGAATTTGTTTAATTTCTTCATACATTACCTTAGATTGCTCTCATCCATACAAAGTATGTAATCAAATGTCTGGAAATCCTCTTTAGTAACCTAGAATTAAAAATAGATGCTTTAGCCTACAAACTTCATTTGACTTATAAGAAGAGGAAAAAAAGTAGTTTCAAATTCTGAATCTCTGATTTACTAAAAAAGACAAGATGGAAAGAATAAAACTGCATCTTCGTAAACTTTTACAATAAGTTATGGCACTTTAAATATACCTTGCCATGATTATTTATCCATTTCTGCAAGTATTCCATAAAAAAATCTGAGTCAGTTATTCAACCAATCTTTTTTTTTTCTTTTTTTTTTTTTTTTTAAATTTCATTCATCAACTTAAACATCATTAAAAGTTACATTTCTAGTACTTTTCAACTACTAAAACTGAAGCAGATTTTCAATTGTGGAAACTATGCAATACAAATGGTTACAAATAAAATAGAAAAATTACTTTCTTGATGGAACAACAAAAATGTAACCTGGAATCAATTGCAGTACTTCCAGTCTAGAAATTTGTCACTGCACAGAAAAAGTTACCAGGTGAAATTCAAAGCTGAAGTATTATGGTATGACTTACAATCTCTTAAAAACAAATGCATCCATAGTATTTTAGGCCATGTAAATTCACAAAATTTATAATATGATGTGAAAAAATCTATTGTAATCTTCCTACCACAATACAATCTGTTCTTCTTATTTCCTGTAGTTTACTGACCCCTAAACATGAATATTAACTTAATTCAGTGATTTGAGTTCAGAGGCAGATAGGCAAATATAGCAGATAAACCACTAACTTAAGTGCTAATGTCACCTGTACTGTTACAAAGATGGATGCAGATATTTACCTGTCATTGTATTTCAGTTTACATTTAAGCCTTAGCTTAAGCTAAAATGTTCCCAGTCCGTGCCCACAATGCTCGTGTTGGGTTTCTTGAACGAAGTGTCCATAATGAGGATGAATAAAAGGAGTAAAATCTATAATGAGCTCACATTAAGACTGCATTTCACACATAGTGTCTCCTATGTGTCCTGTGTGAAGTATCATAACCAACAAACTTGGAAAGTTTGTTCAGAACAGGCTTTTCTGGCAGACATCTCTGGGAAGGATGGGCTAGAGAGGTGAGTGAGCATGTAAACAGACAAAAAGGCAAAACATCATCCTGTAAGTCAGAGGTTTAACTTTTAAAAATTACTTACATACTAAAAAGATTTAGATGGCAAAACAATCCATTTTGTGCAAACAGCAAATGGGTACTGATTAAGCTCCCCTAACAGGGAGTAAGAAAAGACAGACAGATGTTATTACCAGCATAAAGCCATAAATGAAACATTTTACACAAAGAGAACTGAAGATGTGAGGTGTGTTGGGGGAGTATGAGAAAAGAAAGGGTTAATGGTGAAAACTAATGCAGACTTGTTTATTTTCACTGTAAAAATATTTGCTGTATTCATGCAGTGCCTGTGACCTATGAAAATATTTTTGCAGTGAAAATAGCTCTGTCTTCCTGGCAAATCTAAGCAGTACCTCTACAAGCTGCTTCTGATTGCTCTACACAGCTAAACACTGGCCCCTATGAAAATATGAGGGCACAGATTTCTTTGTTGTACAGATATATGTGAGAAGAAAAATTAAGAAAAAAAGGAAAAACACACCTGTCACACTTCCCACTTGACAATGTTACAGTTATTACCCTATGACCAGCACTAACAAAGATGTTAATGCAGCCCTAAAACCAAGATTACCATTTGGCTTGTGCTCTTAAGCCCTACAGCAGTATCAGATACAAAAAGCCTAATTGAGCAAACTCCAGGGAACTGAAGATATTCCTCAAAACTATGAAAACTAGTATTTTGGGAGAATCGAGGACATAAAAATTTATGTACATTTTGAAAAGAGTGGTGGAGAGTTCAAGTTCAGCTTTGGATGGAACTATGCAAACAACAATAACCTTACATTAAAAAAATGCCTATAACCATTATTAATTTATTTGTTGAACATTTCCCTTTATTTACAGAAGGGAAATCTCATTTTCTCTGTCTAAAACCCCAAGAGAAGCAGTAATCCTCAAATTTATCCAGTTGTGAAACAGTGTTTAATACAACCTGCTTCTAATCTCAATTTCATATTTAAGGGAAATGCACAGTATGAGTCATACCAAAATCAATTTTGGCCTCAGCATGAATAAAAGTGAAACTGATTAAACCTATCTGGTTTGTGCATAAAGACTAAGAGCTTAGAGAACTGCAATGGGCACATACATACAGCAGCCCACCATCAACTACAATGTTAACAACTCTTTATTTTACATATAAATATATACATTTATTTTTACACTTCACTTTTCACTTAAAGGATTCATTGTATATGATGGTAGGATACAACCAACTTAACATTCTCTTTTACATAAATCATTCTTGCAGTTTTGAATTAAAAAAAAGGTAAAATCCATGATTATCATAATTACACACAAAATTACATGAAAGAAAGTGCCTTTCACTGGGTGGGTATCAGTATTCCACAGGAGTGAAGAGGATAATTGTATGAGGTACTTATCTCAAGACAGTATTTCGAAGGCAACAAAGATAAATTCCTGCTATTTCTGCAGCTTCTGTATTAAATTTTCCTTAATCTCTTCTGAAACAAGTCTCACACAACATTCTATCCTTGAGTTTGTCTCTAAGAGTAAAACAAACACACTGCCACTTGTACTAATCTGACCACTGTGAAAAGTCCTATTTACACTCTTGAGTCCCTGTCTTTTCAGAAGTACAAGATGACCATAACAGGTCTGCAGTTTAGAAAATCATCAGGGACAATTTGACAGAAGTTTGGAAAAAAACCCATAAATTTTCATCCTGTTAGTCTTTCATTTCATTGTCTCTTGTTAATTTTCTCTCCCTGTATATGTAGTATTTTAGGGTGTTCTGCTTTAAAAATCTCTTCATTTGTCAGAATGAATATGCAAATGTCTTCATTCCCTCTCTGCCAAAGGAGGATATATAGATTTGTTTCAAGGCAGAGGATCAACTCATTTTGGGTCCTTTGCTTTTAGTTTAACTGCTCACAAACTATTCTAAGAATACCCATGAACAGTTCTCAGGTTTCCAAGGCATATCTTCTAAGAAGACAAACATGTTACACTGCTGTGACTGAAACAGTGGCTGAATAGTTTCAGTACCATTTAGTTTGTATATTGACAAATAATGATTTTTGTAAACACTGATAAATAGTAAATCCAGAACTTGCCAAAGGAAAAGATTACAACAGACTTTTTTAGTAATTATTCTAATAGTAAAATACTGAAAAATCTGAAATGGTGCTGTGCTTAATTCTGTTTGTTATATAAATGGAGACTAACATCAGGAGAGGTCAGTAGAGGGCAATTGACTAATTGAGAGAATTTATTTTAAAAAGTCAAAAAACTAAACATGTGGTCTTTGAAAGTGAAGAAAGTAAATATGACCTCAGTAAGGTCTAGTAAAATTCTGAAGGGAACAGAAATGTAAGATAATAACAAGACTACTTGATCTTTTTGTCAGTAGAAGTAGTAGTGGCATAAACTCAAACTACATAAAGGTCAAGCCCTAAAGGAATATCTTATATGCAGAGAATAATTAACTGAAGTAAATTATGTGCATTTATTTGAGTGTCAGAATGATTTAAATAGATGCAGACACATTTACTTCCAATCTGTCTGGAATGCAGCATGGAAATACATGTTCTTTTGTTAATGAAAACAGATATGAGTTTTGGTAAAACGTAGAGGATTTCACTAAGTGACAAACCTGTCTTATCCTTAAGAATGCTTCAAGGGTATGTTTTCCTCTGAAGTTACCACCAACTGTGCTACTAATCTTGGGTTTGAGTGCTTTCATTCTAATTTAGCACTTTAAATATTTTTAAAAGATCTTCATGCAAGAACAGAAGCTTTTTGTGACAGATGAACAGGTATTCTACTTCTTTTTGGATTTGTTAAATAAATATGCATAAATTGCTGAAGAATAGCATCACAGATTACTAGAGTAAATCCATTTTTAAAAAGTATTTAAAAAATGCCCAAAATACTAAACATTTAAAGACAAGATTTTTCTATAATGCACAAACTGCTCCAATGTTTCCTAGTTATACTTCCAATGAAACTTGGTAACAAGAAACTCATTAAGCTCAACTAGAAAGTAAGGCCACTTTGAAATCCTTTAAAAAACTACATATAGTATTTATTACTTGATGCTTAACCATGCATTGGTCAAATGACTTGTGTGATTGCAATGGTTAGGGCTAAACAAAGCATGGGTATGAATAAGAAAGAAAATATACTCTCTTCTACCTGCCGTGCTTTATGGGCTGTCTCAATGCCATGATTTCTTAGACAGTTTAAAGCCCTTGAATCTGGGGAGCGCCCCACGTTCCAGTCTGAAACAGCAGCACTGTCTGTCCTCCACTGTAACAACAAAACAAATACATACACATATTTAAAGAAGATTAAAGTACAGTACCTGCCTGGCAATATGATTCATGGGAATGCCATGCTTCTTCATGCAATTCTGTCCTCGATAGTCAGGAGGGCTTCCTATTTCATAGGTAGATGTCGCTGCACTGTCTATCCTCCACTACAGAAAAACAAATTTATATTTTTAAGTTTCCTTTCTCACTGCTTACATTTCTAACTGGCTACAAGACAGTAATTTCTTAGGCAGGAAGAGAAATAAACAGCTTACCTTATGTTCAACTTTTTCATCAGTTACAAGTTTTCTAAAAACTGCTTCAGCTATTGGAGAGCGACAGATGTTTCCTATGGAAACAAGAGATTAAAGTGAATTTTCAGACTACTGAAACAAAAATATCAATAATTGTGTGGATTTTTCAGCACAAGTCAGATTCAAGATTTTTATTTACTTAGAATATATACTGCTTATGTGAAAACCCAGAGTCCTGCGCTTCGGTTGGAGCAATCTCCTGTATCAATAGACTGTGGTATGCAGGGATTGAGAGGAGCCCTGTGGAGGACTTGGGGACACCAGTGGGTAAAAAATTGGATATGAGCCAGCTGTGTTCATCTGCAGCCCAGAAATCCACTCCTTGGCTGTATCTAAAGCAGTGTGGGCAGCAGATCGAGGGATCTGAGTCTGCCCCTCTACTCAGCTCTCAGGAGACCCCACCTGAACATTGAGCTCTGGGGCTCCCAGCACAAGAAAGACATGAACCTGCTGGGGCCAAGCCAATCAGGAGTGATAGTAATGATTCTGTGATAACTCATTTAAGAACAGAAGGTTGTGGTGCAGAAAGAATTCCAGCCAGGGAAGAGCAGTGTGAGAATATGGGAACAACAAGGTAGACACCAAGGTCAATGCAGGAGGTGCTCCAGGCACTGGAGCTGAGGCCCTGCAGCCCATGGTGCAGACCAGGGTGGAGCAGCTGTGCCCCTGCAGCCCATGGGGGACCATCAGGGTGCAGAGACCCACCTGCAGCCCATGGAGGAGCCCGTGCTGGAGCAGGTGGATGCAAGAAGGAGGCTGTGACCCTGTGGGAAGCCCAAGATGGAGCAGGTCCTGCCAGAGACCTACAGCCTGTGGAGACGGAAGCCCACGCTGGAGCAGGTTTTTCCCAGGAAGGACTTGTGGCCCCTGTGGGGGTTCCACGTCGGTACAGCTCATTCAGTGAAGGACTGCACCCCGTGAAGGAGTGACCCACGGGACAGCAGTTTAGGAAAAACTGCTGCCCCAGGGATGGACTCACTCTGGAGAGGTCCATCAAGGACTGTCTCCCATGGGAGGGACCCCACAGAAGCAGGAGAAGGACTCCACTCTCTGATCAGTGTCAGAAACAACTTACCATAACCCCCATTCCCTGTCTTCCTGCACCGCTGGGGGGGAGGAGAGAAGAGAGAACATGGAAAGAAGGAGGGGTGGGGGGAAGGGGGTTTTAAGATTGTTTTATTTCTCACTCTTTGTCTCTGACTCTGTTAGTAATAAATTTAAATAATATCCCCACTTTGAGTCTGTTTTGCCTGTGATGGTGATCAGTAAGTGACCTCTCCCACCTCTTATCTCTACTCATGAATCCTTATCTGTTTCTTTTTCTCTCCTCTGTTCAGTTGCAGAGGGAGAGTGAGAGAGTGGCTTTAGTGGGTACCTGGCATCTGGCCAGGGTCAACCCACTACATGCCACTTTCAATAATGCATGAAGAATCATGAATACTTGCCTAAAGTATTTACATTACTACCTACCTGTGAACAAAAACTTTTGGACAACTCCAAAGCCCAGCCACCACCATTGTGGAAACAACATAGTGAAATGACTGAACCACCTGTAGCAGAGATGCTCTTGGTCACTGAAATGAAGTCACTGGAGGTCAAACTCAACACTCACCAAGAGCAACTTCCAGATACCAATTCCAAAATCCCCTCAAAAAGAATTCAATTACACAAGCACTAAAAACAACTCAGAAAAAAAAAAAAAAAAGATTCCAAACTTTTTGGTCCAAAATACGGAGGATTAGGAAAAAAACATAACTTATGGCAAAGCTGAAGTGCTGTCAATCAGCTAACAAACAGTTAAGGTTCTTAAGTATATACATACATAATCAGCCTTCCCTTCCAGTGGCCTCCAATTGCACTAGCCACTTGATCTGACCTTATTTTCAGAAAGAATCTGTTTCAACAATCCACTACTGACGCATTAAAAAGCTAGAAATAATGGAGCTATAAGTTAACCATCTATGGCAGACCTCTTAAAAATGAATGCAGAAATTCATATTCTTGGAAAAAGAATGAAGTGTCTCAACAAAAATAAAAAGTAATTATTTTAACTCTTTCTACCTTTTCATCCTTCAGAAATTTTGAGTAACTAGATAAATATTCATAATATTTGAGATGTCACCAAGATGACAATAACTCATACACTCAAATCTTCACCTTCCATCAAACAGAATGTGTAACTTTGCTCATTACTGACTTTTGACCAGACAAGTACAAAATACCAGAAATGGAAAAACTCATTTCTGTACCTCTAAATAGATCACTCTTCTGCTACTGATTCTTTCCAAATCTCAAACAGGGGAAAAAAAAAAAAAAAAAAAGCCCATGAACAAAGTTAAATTGCCAGCAGCAAAAAGAAATTTTCAGATCAGACACTTAAGCTGATTTTCATGCCTGTATTTTCAAACAAACACCAAGGGACACACTTCACTGCTAAAGAGAGAGAAGTTGGTATGATCTGGACATTTAATAACTTGCTGTTGCTCGTGCCAACTATAAAAATCACAAAGAGGGAAGAACTGAAGCAATACAAATTGGCTGTCCAAGATTTAGAGAACATCGAATCACTAAATGGCAAAAGGAACAGGCTAATCATTGAGAAATTGATCTTGCTGAAGCACTAGGTGAATTCTGATGACAGTAAATCTTCCAGGAGAAAACATACTATTTCTGTTGTTTGAATTGGTTTATTCCGTGCACAGAAATGAAATCAGTTTTGGAAGAAAAATAGAACAGTAAAATTTTGGGTTTTCTTAAACAGTTAAATGAGAAAATAGGCTAGCGTTATTAATTATAAAAATGTTTTTAAATATGGTAACAAATAAAAAAAAATAATCTCATTACTTCAGTGAGTTAAGTGTTAAACAATATAATTTCAACAGGGAACATGGTACAGCATAAGATAGAATATACCCTTCCTATCAGTGAGCCTAATCCTTCAATATTGCAAGCATATACAGCATCACTTCTCTTGAAAACACATCCAGCTCCCTTTTAAAAAGCATCATCTATCTTTAAAGGCTATTCCAGATACTCATTTCCTGTGGTAGCCTGAAACCTTCTAATTCCCACTTAAGCCTGTGCTCATCTGATCTTGGTTAACATCACTCTCAACCTTAAAAATCTTTCTTTCCTTCAACAGATACAGAACCCTTGCCAAGCATAGCTGTGCTAAACTAAACAAACCAAGCTCTCAATCTCCTCATGATATTAACTGACCCTTACCTAATCACTCCAGTTAAGTCAACTCTGCACTTGTTCTAATTTGAATGTATGTTTCTTGAATACTGACAAATAAAATCACAGACTACACTGCAGGAAAAGTTTGTTCCAATTTGTTTTATAAAAGAAAAAAACGTCTGATATATATACTTAGTTCTTTTAAAAATAACCTGAGATAACTTCTACAATCACATTTGAACTGTTCATGAGTATGAAATTTACAATTATATTCTTCTAATTTGTCAGTTTCCTCTCTTTCTCTGTTGCTTCAAACGGGTGTTCTTTAACTCTTTTTCTAAACTATTAAATTCTGTTTCCATTACACCAGCTGTTGAGGCCATCTATTTCCTCCTGTACAAAACTATTCCTCTATATGAATGATCCCACACAACTGTGTGTGAACAGTAACTTTCATTACTACAGTCAACATTTCAGTAAAAATGATTAATAATACTATTCGTCCTCGTAACTCCTTAACTAGCTCCCAGAATTTCAAAATGGTGCTTTTGAAATAAAATTTCATGGCTTTCTCCATTTGTTTAACCTTCTGCTTTATATGGATTGAATTACTTGCTCAAATTTTCACTCTTCTGTAACCTACTCACCACTAAATAATAAATTAAAATAAATGTTATAAATGTAATCTTTAATGATATCACATAAAATACCATCATGAACAAGCACCATGATCATCAGCTGATTAAAAATACTAACTACCACTTCTAGCAATAACTAGAAACTACAGTTACATCATTTTTGAAACAAACATCTAACCTAGTTTGTGACTTAAAAATTAATGTCTTCCAGGATGACACATTCCAGATATTACCAGAGGTATGAGCATTGTTAGGGAACTGCAATCATCATTCATATCTATTCTTGGCAACTACGGCCAGAATCATAGAACTGACTTAACAGCTCTTCTCCCTGCTCACTCTGCGATGTTATTTTCATCCTAACGCTCTTTTACCCACACTACTCCTTGCAACAGTTATCATTCATCTCAACATTGATGTAAAGTCCTATCTCATCGCACTGACATATCCAAACTTCAATCCTTGCCGCAGTCACCTTTCCCACTATAATTTCTATCCACTTCACATCCAGTTTTACATCCCACATTGGTCTTTCCAGGCTTTCTGAGGTCCCTTGCAGATGCACAGTATTCCCTAAGCTATGGATTGACAGCCATATTCGCAGAGTGAAGGGGGAAATTTCACAAAAAGAATCATAGGGCAATTACCTTCCTCCTTGGACTTGAACCATATTTCCTTAAATGTTATCTACACTTTATCTTTGTTACCTATCCTCCTCTGGTGTTCCTTTCTCCTTTGTTGTATTTCTGACTTATCTGATCATGCTGGTTTTATGTAGAAGAAATCAGTATTCAAGTTCTCTGAATCTCCATCTTCTCTCTTCATTTTTTTACATTTCAAGCTATTTAAGTTGTAGTGACATTTTCAATCACAGAAAACTACTACCCAAGGTACCCATACAGTGTTGACCCACTGAAATTAATCCCATAAACACCCTCAAATATGACAATGCAAGGATAAGAAATCTGAATCACAGAATCAGTACTGGAACCATTTGTCAATCACTTTTAAGAAGCCATGCTTTCTCACTCATTTTCTAGGAACAAGGACTCCACTGATGGTTATCTAAGCCAATGCTTAATTTTTTAGTTCTTATTCCAGTCTCTGCACTAATCTTTAACCCATTCCCAGGTAGAAATGGTAGCACCGGTTCTCCTGGCAGGAAAGACAACTTGAATCCATTTCATGCTCAAGTCCATTGCCCATTCTTAGGTATA